TACAAATAAAACCAGAACAGTAGTCTTTTAAGCTCCATTGTAGGGGCAGGAGTAATTACCTTCTTTGCAATTACCTGATTGTGAACATATCATTGATCTTACTCAGACCTTGACTCAAAACCTTTCTTTTTCAGCTTGATTTTTCTTACTCTGGCTCCAGCAACTAAACAAAGTATAATCAAAGATAGAATATTAATAGCTGCGTATAGCACAAACATTTTGTGAATTGCTTAAGCACATAAATGTGAAGGTAACTTCAGTGACATTAGGCATAAAATTAGGTTTGAAGCAAATTAATGACTGATGGCACGCTATTTATGTGCTTAATTAAATGAAGATGATTAGAGGTGCTATTAGAGCATATGAAAGGTGGCAAGATATCATGTGAATGAGAGATACCCGCTGTGCTCGGGCTGATTAGAGCCTTGATTATTGAGCTGTTTGTGTATCTTGTAGAGCAAGAACAATCAAGCAGCATCCACAGTTCATACGAGGTGACATGGGACTTCTCTTACCCTGGATGTTCAAATAAATATATATTACAGTTTTTAAGTGTGTTTATTTATCTACTGTGCATGAGCTTTATGAGTTCCTGCAATGGTGGTTTGAAGCCAATCATACTTTTGTTCTGTGAAGTGATTTTAAAAGCACCTGGGGGAATAGTTATCATATGGTGTTCAAAGACAAAAACAGCCTCAAAAATCAGTATTTATATGGCAATTTTTCTCATGAAGGATGAAAAAAATGCAAACTGCCCAAAATCATCTGAGACAAAGTCTAAATTAGGCACTAATAATGCAATCTGCACAACTACTTCTTTATTAATGTAGTAAGTTGAATCAAAACATGCCACAGAAGTAAAATTAACAGCAATAATCTACCCCAGAAGAAACAAACTGGACGAGGCCTGCGGTAAGCGGTTTTTGTTCACAGACTCCCAGACAAATCACCGAGACACTTTCGGGCTTTCGACTTATTCTTAATTTCCTGTTGCTCTCTCCTCTCTCAGCGTTTCCCACCGTCTCTAAAAGCTTCTGACTGTCACTCTCTCCCATGTTTCATCGCAGTGTGCACGACCTTATTCTGCCTTCCACAAATTGCTGTTTAATAGGAGGCTTCCTCCCTGGTGCACAGTGATAAGCTAATGGTCAGGGAATTGCTCCCCATTTAGCTACTGTGTCTGTCACATGAAAAGGAAGAGAAGTGATGGAGGCCTCTCATGGGGTTAAAGTGAACACTAAGTTTCTCCTACATTTTCTCAGGCAGAAGATTAATGTTTGGGGTGGGTGGGTGGTTTAGAAATGTGTGTAATTTTAGCAGATTATTGGCTTACTACCTCCGTGCTGATTGGCTTCACAGAAGGAGGCTGATTAATGCAGAACACCTACTCCGTCAATTTGAATACATTTGAATAGATCATTTAATTTTGAGCAGATCTTATTCATGAGTGGTTTTGTTTCTACTCTCTGCACCAACCGCGTAATCAGCTTACACTCTGTGATTCAAATTCTCTTGCGGGACGTGACCCGTCTTATTATTATTATTTTTATCGTGGCCATATTTTTCAAGTTCATCATGCATTCCATGAAGTTTATTCAAACTGTCGGAAACAATTCAGAAACAATAGAGACAGGAAATGTTGAGGGGAAGGCTGGAAATGGGTAAACGCAGCGGTAAATCTCTAATGTAGGAAGAGTGGTCTTGTGGAATGTAGGAAAACATGTTTTTTTAGTTATCTACAAGTACAGAAAATGTATTATAAGCACGCCTAATTGGATGTCTCAAGTGTTAGCATTAGCTGCCATCCGTGCTGTGACCCTTTAGATGCAGCCTCCCGCCAAGAGAGCTCTACTCTAGATTGAGGTGTCCTCCTCTGCTGATTACTCTAGTATGCTCTGGCTATGAGGCTGAAAGGGTGTGTGTGTGTGTGTGTGTGTGTGTGTGTGTGTGTGTGTGTGTGTGTGTGTGTGTGTGTGTGTGTGTGTGTGTGTGTGTGTGTGTGCGTGTACAAGAGAGAAAGGAAGTAGGAGAGAGGAGAAAGTGTAAAAGCAGGAGAGCCAAGTGTGGTTGTTGAGGATATATTTTCTTTGCACTTTGATCGAGAGTAGCTTACTGTTGCTCTCATCGAAATAGACACACACCACACACTCACACAAACACACCAAACCCACACATTGGCTCACTCCAGTTTACTGAGTCAAATGGAAGAGACTGCTCCGTTAAGACGACTATAAGCTTAGCCAACTGGAAACGTGATGCTGTGTTACAGGTGACCTTTCCTGCCGTGTGTTCCTAGGACTGCGAGTGTGTGTTCGAAACTGCGTGTCTGTGTGTGCTCACTATGCAGATGTTGTGAGTGCACACTGACCCTGTGAAGAAGCGCTTTCTCCTGCCTGACTGCATCTGGAAGCCTCACACCTCCTACTTTACTATCCATGTGTGCGTCTAAGTCTGTATTCTTGTTCTTTGCACAGATGTCCTTCAAAGCAGATTGCAGTGCAGGAAATGGCCACAGGCCCCGTAATAGACACACATACTAAAACCAGTTGAGGCATTTAAATGGCCGTCCCTGGGGCTGAGAGATTACATCTGACCCTGATGGTATTGTCTGCTCTCCCTCCATCAAGCGTTTCTCTCTTCTTTTTTTTTTATCTGCCCTCCTTTCCTCTCAATAACAGGCACAAAAATCAAACCCAAGTGTCCTTCTCCAGGTCCAAAACTCTCTCCCTTGGTGTATGGGTGTGACTCACACCATGGGCAGCGGAGAGGATGCTGAGAGACTCAATGTCACCTCCTACTCCGATCTCTGCAGCCTTTTCTCCACTTTCCTCTTCGAAGAGGAAAATTGCCTTTAATTGCTCGACTTTAGAGTTGGCCTGGATGAAGCACTTGAAGGACAGCTACTAAAACTTGCGTGACACATAATCAGTAAAGTGCATGGGTTCTTGTCATGCACACGTTGACTAAAATACAGCTGAAATTGCACACTTGATGAGGGCCTCTCAGTGATTAACTCGGGCTACATCTACAGTAAATGAAGGTGAACAGTCTGCTTGTAATCCTTGAGCCAGTGCACACAAAAATCAGTAGCTTTAACGGCGAAAAGGATGCCAGGATCGATGTTATCGATGGCTGCACTGTGCCTATAGACTCGCCCTGAGCTGGAACTCCGCTAGGTGCATGCTAATGACAGCCGGAGGGACATGAAATCATTAATTGTGTACTTATGTGTGTTTACTGCATGAGATGTGCCTTTGTGCAGGCTCTGTTAAGCTCAGTGATGTGATTATGATGCTGACATATTACAGCTATGTCAGGATGAATCAGCTCCAAAGCTTTTATTAGCCCGGGGTGTGCACTTATTAGTGGACTTATTTTAAGACTTAGTAATAGACTATGTATTTGGCTACAGTCAATTAACAGAGGCTTAAGTAATAAGCACAATTTAAGGAAGCCTCAAATGATAAACCATTTCATTGCAGATGCAGTGGGTAAAATAAATATGTAGTGTAAAGAAATTGTCTAAAAAAATCATATGTTTGTGTTATTTTTGAGGGTCTTCATATTCAAGGCCTCACATAAATATGCTAGATGACCCTCAGGCAGGGAAGAGGGAAAAACAAGAGAAAGAAATGTGAGGTGAGGCGGGGATAACAGGGAGACAGATTGTCACTTCAGGGAGTTTAGACGGTAAAGTCTCGGTTTCAGTCAGTCACCGCCTCCAATGATGGAAAAATAAAATGGTCCTCCTATTCTTTTTGAATTTGAAAGTCTGATATAAAAGATAATTCTGGGTAGGGGACTCAATCCTGCAGGCTTTGAGACATTATAATCTAAAGAGAAGCTCCTCGTTTGTTTAGAAAATAAATGATTTATTAAAGCTGAACGCCCACATAAACAGCAGCACACTGACAAAAAGATGTGACCTTTGGGCCCTGACACAAAGGGTGACAATTCTATCTGCTTATTTTCCACATCTCTTATGATGTTTGTCTGCAGGCTTCTGTCGATACATGCATCAGACAATTTGATGAATATTTTTTACTTGTGACAAGAAACGCTTATTGAAAATCTTTCTGTAAAACCATCATTTTTCATCCCCTCGCCTGAAATGTCTCCTTGTAGGTTTAATTTGATTAATCATTGTGTACTTCTGTTTTTTACCTTGGATACATATTTTGTTTGTGGGTGTGTGCTTGTGTTTCTGTGTGTCTGTGTGAAGGGTCTTGAAATAGTAATAATGGGAACTGGGAAGGAAAAAAAAACTTCAAAAGTCAAAACTTTCAGTTGAAGTCAAAGTATTGCATCATGCATGATCCACTCGCTTCACCTGAAAATGAACATCACTCACTTGAATTGAGTTTGCCTCAGGCTCAGTCTGATGTGAATTACGTTATTTCCATCCGAAACAATTTGTTCTGATTTCAGCGTCAGCTTGACTTCACTTTGAACACACTTCGACAGTCATTGTTTAAATTCCCTCATATGGTTTGTGGTTGTTTAAGTGTTTGTTTACTGGCTAAAAACAAGCTTCTACATCTCTTCTACTTCCCTGCTTTAAAAATGTAAATTGTGTGTATATCTGTGTATGTACATGTACGTGCATGTTTGCAAATACGTGCACGCACATGTACTCATACATGCATGCGTGTCAGGAGTGCTCATTAAAATATAGTGGGAGCTGATGCACTACTCCTGCTCTACTGCTCCCATTTCCACACAGTCCTCTGCAAGTTGCCAGGTAATCAAGCAGGCGCACAACTGTGGCCCCCGACTGCCAACAATCTGGTTTAAGGTTATAAAGACCACCACTGCAGCCATATTCATGTTAGCTGTTGATTATTTTATACAGCAGCAACTTAGAAACTGTTAATCACGCTTTAGTTCAGTGCTGATGAAACTTGATCATTCTAATTCCATGTTTGTTTTCCCTTTTCTTCTTTCCTTCCCCCCCTTTTCTACCCTTTCTCCTCCTCTGTCTCCACCTGTCCTCCTTATAGGCGAGCACCTGCGCATCTGTCCCCAGGGTTACACCTGCTGCACCAGTGACATGGAGGACAACCTGGCCAAGCTGAGCCGCAGGGAGATGGAGGGACTGCTCAAAGACGCCGGACGTTCCTTACAGACCTCGCTCACTGGCCAGTACAAGGTCTTCGATGGTGAGTGTGTATTCACAATGAGTGTTTGAGTGAGTGAACAGGAAATAAAGGTTGTGTGCATGTTTTATGTGTGGTGCAGTATTTATTTGACTTCATAGTCAAGGACAAAGTAGTCGTTGTTTCAGCTTTGATTGCAGAGATTGTCTTGCTGGTTTCTGCATTTTTAACGTCAAATTTTCTCTTTTGACATATCCTGCATACATACACACACACCTATATACACACACACACATACACACACACACACACACAGAATTACATGAAATAGATAAATTACAACTATCTTATTACGGTTGACAGATGCAACAGAGCATTGATTTATTGTCATGCTTCTACAGTACTGCATCGCAGTCGTGATGTCAAACTGCCAAGTTGTATTATTCTTTCAATTTTCTAGTCAAGTCTTCCTTATCTGATCCAACTAAACTTTAAACAAATAATGAATCAGTTTGGTAGCGTCCAAATACTGATAAAAGTGTTATTATTTTATCAAAACTTTCAAAGTCAGGGGCCTTTGTTGCATTTTATGACCTGTTGAATGTGTTATACGTCAAACAGGTAATTGACATAACTTGGAGTATGTTATGGTTAACAGACTCAGGAAGGATCTGATGCTGAACGTCTAAAAATTACCGTAATTTTCGGATTATAAGCCGCGCCTTTTTCCCCATTTTTCGACCCTGCGGCTTATATAACGGTGCGGCTAATCTATGGATTTTTACAGCTAACGGCCACTAGGGGACCTCCTAAATCAATGGATTTTACAGGTTACAGTCCAGCAACTTTAACTCTATGGGCTCTATGACCGGTCCGCGCCCCCCCCCCCCCCCCCACCTTTAAGCGGCGGGCTCCAGCAGGAAAAGCTGGAGGCCGGAAAAGAGTGAGACAGGTAGCGCGCAAAAGTAAAAGTGGACCCGAGAGTGATACGAGAGACAGAACGAGAGACAGAACGAGAGCAAGACAGACAGACGTTACGAGAGCGAGACAGTTTGTACAAAGGAAGTTTTCATGCACAAACCCTCATTATGGAAAACAAACGTAGAAATGCATATGATGCAGCTAAATGGGAGCTTCCTCAAGCAGCCATCTCTTTCCCGACAAGCCCCTCTGTGCACGAACCCTTACATATGGTAATTAAACATTAAAACACCTGCGGCTTATAGTCCAGTGCGGCTTATATATGTACACATCATTCAATTTAGCTGCTGCGGTTTATACTCCGGTGCGCCTTATAGTGCGGAAAATACGGTACTCAAACAGGGATTTATTTAGAACAAATCCAATCCCTGTCTTCAGATCAGCACTTAAATAAAACAACAAATACGTTTGCTGATAATGGTAAACTAGTGGAGCTAATAGAACTGTACCAGAGATGGTTATATTAGGGATGTTCCTATAGCGACTCACTCAACTAGTCTTAAAGCCGTACTCCATCTATAGAGTGTTCTGTAAAAGATTCCACATGTTTGTAGCAGAAACACAAAAGGCGATTTTCCTAGCTCAGAGTGAACATGTTGGATTTGAATTATTTGACAGTCAGAACAGCAGTTTGGTAAGGTCCTGTGTTCCAGTTCAGCATAGATGTTATATAAGACGTTGAATGTCTAATAATAGATTTATAGATAAAACGAAAGGCATGTTATACAGAATACAATGATGAGTGTTATAGGGATCCACAGTTATGATTGATATGACAGTAAGCGACTGAGTCTAGAGATTTGAGAGTGGAAACAGCTGTCTGTAGATTATATCAGTGTCATAATCTAGGACTGACACGAAGACTGCATCAATTGCACATTCATATATGTAAGTATTTCTAGAGATGAAAGACATATGCAATATGAAAGGGCTGACAAGTGGAAATAAGTGGAAAGCATCCACTACATATTTTGTTTTAGTGTGTGTTTTAAAAAAGTTTGCAGAGGGAATAAAAGGATTTTAAAGATTGACATTAAAAGCGGTAAAAAAATGTTTTAATGTAATTGCTGTGTTGTAGCAATATGCACTAAAGCAGAAGTCTGTCAGTGAATACATTCTGCACTTAAACAATTATTGTTTTAAAATCTTAATGTGATGATAAAAGCGGGACTTAATTGCAGTTCTCTGAGCATGAGGAAGAAATGAGACAGACAGTTGGAGAAAAGAAAGACGGAGTTTCAGTCTTAGAACAGTGGAGCACAGAGGCAATTATTTGGGTCTAATGACCTGCTCCAGTTAATGGAAGGGTGTCTCTGTGCTCCACTTGTTCCCCTTGGCCAGTTGGTGACAATGGATCTGTCAGCTGGGGCTCTGAGCTCAGCTAGTTAGCCTGACCTTTCGAGATCACAGTGATTAGTAGCAGAGTGACATTTCTTTACTTTCGTGTAATCGCTCTATGTACTCCGAGCTCACGGTCCCTCCTTTTCACTCAGGGGCTGTTTCTGTGCCAAAGGGGATACAGTCATCCTGCTAAGGACACACACACAAACTGTCCTGGACATGGGGTCCACTTGGAGACTCTCTCTAAGTTAGTTGATGTCATCCTACAGTTCTTGAACTTTACATGTAAATAAACAACACCTTATGTAACACATTTAAACAATGCAGATACAGACACACGCACTCAAGCAGCACTCAGTTTTGAACTTTAAACACTCCAATGATAAGCCTCCAAAAAACACAGAGATACACATGTCATAAACAAGATAACTTGAGTTGCCTCACAATGAAGTCATCTGGCGCCTGGCTTGTGTTTCTGTATTCCTGCCAGATGTGTTACACTAACAGATTTCTAATAGCTGCTGTTTTCAAACAGAAATTAATCAGACTGTTCGCTTGTCTTGATCTCATATTTAGCCACACCTCTCCTCTCCTCTCCTCTCCTCTCCTCTCCTCTCCACTCCTCTCCTCTCCTCTCCTCTCCTCTCCTCTCCTCTCTCCTCCACTATTAAATCTTTTTTTTCCCTGTTTTGCATCCCCTTATCTCACCCCAATGAGCATCAGATGGGGAGAGCCGGAGCTGATGAAGGGAGGAGAAATGAATACGTGTGTTGGGACCTTGATGTCCAAAAAAACATCTGTTGTTGACTGTGTCCTCTAAAGGCAAGAGCTGAGTGATAGACCAGGGTTAATTGGACCAAAATACTCCAACTTTGTGACCACATGATCAGTGCAATTTGGCCGGAAACAGCTATTCTTGCTAAAGACATCCTGTTGTTAAACTCAGCTGTTGAAAAGTGCGAAGTAAGGTGAATTAGTCCTGTATTAAGATTGACAACTTATTTAACTACGTTATTAAGAAGACAAATATTGGTTCGTATCGATATGTAAGTTGAAAAAATAACATAATATTTGCTGTTTGCTTACCATTCAGATGACATTTTTTGTTCACTACAGGATAATACAGTGACATTGCACCATGCTGCCAGTCCCAGCACATCTGGCTGTGTTTAGCAGGGTGTGGGCTAGCTAGCGCCATGTGGCTAAGTGTAGGGTGTTACTGTTCCAGCCCATGCAGGCTCTGCCTTTTAAGGTCCAGGGACTTTGGAAGAAGCCCCAACCAAGCAAGCCACAGATTAGAGGACCAGCATACTCTCATACAGCTGGCTGTGGGCCTGTGAGTGTGTACACTGTATAAATGTGAGCATGCAAATGTGTGTTTATATACATGCCTCTGTAAGTTTGTAATTTAATGTGTCACCTTTTGAGTGTGTGAAAGGTTTTTTCGTTTACAGTATGCTTGTGTGTTGTTTGCATTCGGTTCTCTCAATTTCTTTACTGTCAATCCCACTGTGTAGAGAGGAACAAACTAAATGATATATTATGTTAAACAAATATGAATTGTATAATGCTGAGGAGGGCAAAATGAGGGTGAAGGAGAGGAGTGAAAGTGAGACAGATGGAATAAGAAGAAACAGGACAAGGGTACGAGAGAAACAGGTGGAAGTGGAGAGGGGTAGTAAAGACAGAGGGCTGAGGAGAAAGAGAGACGGTGTTTCATTGAAGGGAGAGGAGAAAGGTCAGAGAGGACGCAGAGAGTGATGGCACCAAAGGGAGCAGCGTGTGAGATGGCAACCAGGTGTGTTAGACAGACGGAAGCCTGAAAACTGGCAGGTGGTGTTTGGCCTAATGGTGTCATCACTGGCATCTGGATTCACTCTGTAGGTGTGTGTGTGTGTGTGTGTGTGTGTGTGTGTGTGTGTGTGTGTGTGTGTGTGTGTGTGTGTGTGTGTGTGTGTCTGTCATTTGCACTCATACCGTCATAAAGAAGCGCCCTTTCATTTTGTTGAAGTTGGGTAATTGTTCCTCTTGGGCTTTATTTGATAATTGGATGATTTAACAGAACATATTCTGAAATTTCATACATTTCTTTATGTAGAGCTCATCATTGTCCTATGTGACAACTTAAAACTCGTAAACTCAAAGTCGTCTGACCCCATTAATGTCTGTGACTTCATTGAAAGGCAGTTATTCCTGAAGTCTAACAGTGGCCTCCTGGTGTGCTATGGCGATACTGCAGGTCAGCCCCAATAGCCAGTCAGTCAGAACTAGTGAGAAATTATTCACTGTTTTCTCAAGTGTTGACGAGAGGAGTTTGATTAGAGTTTTGCTTGGGTCCTGATCGCTGATGAAAAAAGTCAGATTGTGTTCTAAACTGATGGAACCCTAATCCATCTCTGTATTTTATTTTCACAATCCTTAAAAAAGGACATTGTAGGAGTGCATGATCTGTTTTTATTGTGTGTGTGGGCATTTCGGCATTATTTGAAGAAGGACTGAAATGATTAGTCAGTTTTGTACTATTTTGATCTTCTGTATCGTCATTTTAATGAGATGAGATAGTCCAGATATGGAGAGGATGTCTCTTTGTCCTACTTGATAGCAATCTGAATATCTTGATGTTTTAGACTGTTCCTCCTACAAAACAAGGAATTGTAGAACTTGGGGAAATGTTTTACATCAGATGATTTATTGCATCCATTTCGGTCTAGTTTATGCAGATACACAGTGTACTAGTCAGA